AAAGAGTGAGGACTGACTGGGTATGCGGGTACTTTCTGGCATGATGGAGATGTTCTATACCTTGATACGGGTCTGGGTTACCTAAATATACGAAACCCTCAAAACTCACCAAATGGTACACTCAAGATTTGTGCAACTTACTATATGTAAATGTTATCTCCAAAAAATTGTAAATAAATACCAAATTCTAATTAATGATATGCATACTGAAGTGTTTAGGGATCAAGAGTACTAGTATCAGAAACTTACTCTGAAAAACATCAAAAATAAGGTGGAGTTATAGATGGATAGCTATATGGGAAAGCAAACATAACAAAACGTTTAAAATGGTTTCACCCAGATGGTGGGTATGTGAGTGTTCACTGTGCGATTCTTTCAACTTTTTGGTATGTTTGAAATTTTTTGTAATAAAATGTCAGAAAAAAAAAAAAAAAGAAAGAAAAACTTATCTACTGGATAACGGACCCAGACAAATCGATGAGTGGTTACATAACAGTAGATTTTGTTAGTTAATCATTATGCCCTTTAGGAGCTTAAGATAATGTCCTTGGACCTCAGACACGTAGGCTCCACACTCTCCAGCAAACGACTTGACCTCTGTTCCTCATGTCCTTGTCTCTAACATGGGTATTATACCACCTATCTCAAAAAAGTTGTTGTAGAAAACAATAGAATAATTCATGTAGAGAATTAAAACTATACCTAGTACATGGGAAACGTTCAATCAGTGGCAGTTGATTTAATATTATTAATTTTTGTACCAGCTCAGTGAATACAAGCAGAAATGATACATCCATTAATTCAAACATGATACTCTCTAAACTTTATTAATTTATAGGTCCTTGCCCAAACTGAATCCTTTCCCATAAGATCAAAGGATTCATTCAGTTTGTTTTCTACTTTACGGAACGATTCCTCCGACAGGTATCCAACACTAACACTTCAGTCTGAAAAGCATGTACAGTGTAGCATCACCACAGCTCTGAGAAGTACAGCCCTGAGACTGTGCTCATTGTCTTCCATCTACTTTTTTTTTTTTTTTTTTTTTTTTTTTTGTGGTTGCGGGGCTCTTCACTGTTGTGGCCTCTCCCGTTGCGGAACACAGGCTCCGGATGCGCAGGCTCAGCAGCCA